TCAGGCAGGACCTGCCCCTAGTAAAGCCATGTTGGGTGTCCTGGATTACCTCCCTGTCCTTCATGTGCCCAAGCATGGCATCTAGGAGGATCTGTTCCATGATCTTCCCGGGCACAGAGGTGAGACTGACAGGTCGGTAGTTCCCAGGGTCCTCCTTTCTACCCTTTTTAAAAATGGGTGTGATGTTCCCCTTCTTCCAGTCTGCAGGGACTTCACCTGACTGCCATGATTTTTCAAATATCATGGAAAGTGGTTTGGCAACTACATCAGCTAGTTCCTTCAGGACTCTGGGATGTATCTCATCAGGTCCCATGGACTTGTATATCTTCAGGCTCCTGAGTTGATCTCGTACCTTGTCTTCACTTACAGTGGGAGGGACCTTGTCACCCTGGTCTCCAACTTTTTTGTCATCAACACAAGAACTAGGAGGAAGGGGGTTACCAGTGAAGATTAAGGCAAAGAAGTCATTGAGAACTTCTGCCTTCTCCTCATCTGTTGATACAAGTTCCCCGCTGTTGCACATCAGGGGGGGTACATTTTCTTTAACCTTCCTTTTCTGGTTAACGTACCTGTAGAAGCCTTTCTTATTTTTCTTTACGTCCCTTGCCAAGTTCAGTTCTAGCTGTGCCTTGGCCTTCCTGACCTCATTCCTACACATCTTGGCAGCGTCCCTATACTCTTCCCAGGATGCCTGTCCCTTCTTCCATTTCCTGTGTAGCCCCATCTTGCCCCTTAGTTTGACGAGCAGGTCTTGGCTCAACCATGGTGGTCTCTTGCCCTCCTTGCCCATTTTCCTACATGTGGGGATTGAGATCTTTTGTGCTCTATAGAGAGCATCCTTAAAAATCTGCCAGCTTTGTTCCGCTCCCTTGTCCCTGAGGGCTGTTTCCCATGGGGTCCTATTTACTAACTCCTTGAAAAGCTGGAAGTTTGCTTTCTTGAAGTTTAGAGTCCTAACTGTGCTTCTGGTGAGCTTCAAACTCCTTAGGACAGTGAACTGCACTAGGGCATGATCACTGCAGCCTAGGCTACCTTCAATTTTGATATCCCTGATGATTTCACTTGCATTTGTGATCAACAGATCCAACAATGCATTTCCTCGAGTAGGGCTGTTAATTTCTTGTCGCAGGAAGTTGTCATCTAGGCACTCTAAGAGCTTCCTGGATTGTCTGCAGCCAGCTGTGTTGCTTTTCCAGCAGATGTCGGGGTGGTTAAAGTCCCCCAGCAGGATGAGAGCCTGTGATCGTGATGCCTCCTCAAGCTGGAGTAAGAAGGCATCATTGACAGGCTCCGCCTGGTCAGGCGGCCTGTAGTAGACTCCTACCACAAGGCTCCCTTTGTTGTCCCAATCCCTAATTCCTAGAGGAATGCTTTATGTGTAGTAGTTAGATACACTTAACATCACACTTTCTTTGTAGGTGGCACAACTGCTTTCTCTGTGCTTGGCAAGTTACAAATTCTCGGTGCTTCTTATATGGAAGAGGGTTTTCAAACACGTGTGTATATACATATAACTTTTGGAGAAACAGTTTTTGTTTAACTGATTTATGTTCCATGAATGCAGGAATAGGAAAAGGAGAGGATTCATTGTAAGCATATACTTTATCAACAGTTTATTAATAAGCTGTTATGATATTATTGCTTCATATGGCCGTGTTATATCCACATAGAAGATCAGGCAACTTTCAGACTTAAGACTAGCTTGGAAAGTAATAGAGGCAAGCTTAATTTATTAATTGATTTAACAGCTATTAATCTAGCTGCTTTTACATCAGGTACTTTTTCAAGAGTGTAACAGTGCTGATGCGTTCTTTAGGAAATGTCAACTTTCTACTTCAGCAGGAAATTAATATTTATGATATAACACGGAAACTTTTGTTTCTTAGTTGCAGACAACGGTGAATGAAGCGAGCACAGGAGTGGTAACAGATTTGTTGTTGACTGTGTGCTGCGCTGAGTGGGGAGCACAGGGATGGAGTCTGGCATGGAGGAGATTCCTGTTAAAGTTGCAGTTCGAATCAGACCTCTGCTTTCCAAAGAAGTACTTCACAACCACCAAGTGTGTGTGAGAGTGGTCCCAAACACACAACAAATCATCATCGGCAAAGACCGCGTCTTCACTTTTGATTTTGTATTTGGCAAAAACTCAACCCAAGAAGAAGTTTATGCTGTTTGCATCAAACCTCTTCTGCTGTCTTTGACTGAGGGGTACAATGCTACAGTGTTTGCATATGGACAAACAGGTTCTGGGAAGACTTACACCATCGGAGGTGGCCACATTGGTAGGTTGTAGAAAGTTTGGGGTTTTTGTAAACTAATGAACAGTGGCTTTGTGCAAGTTATATATTTAATAAATAGCAGATGAAGCTGCAGAATTTTTAGGGGCTAATGAAAAAAGGGATAGTAAAAAAAATGCTTCCAGAGTTTATATGACAATGAAAAGCAAATTCTCCAAAAATAACTAGAGTAAAACAGTTTATGAAGTGCTCTTTCTCATTCTCCGTTTTAACATGCAACTTAAACTAGAACTTCTTCGTGAAATGGAGTGTTTTGGAGAATGTTGCTACATGTCAGCTTTAAGCAATTAATTGCTTCCTTACTCTTTGCTTTCTTTTTTTGGAGAGAGACATTTTTATGACATCATAGAAATTTATGATTTAAGTCTTGCAAATTGATAGATTATTCTAAATCTCTTCGTAGGTATTAAAATCTTCCTTTTATTTAGAATCATAGAATCACAGAGTCATTTAGGTTAGAAAAGACCCTTAAGATCAAGTCCAGCCATTAACCTAACACTGCCAAGTCCACCACTAAACCACGTCCCTCAGCACATCTACACATCTTTTAAATATCTTTTTGAATATTATGTGGTGACTCAACCACTTCCCTGGGTAGCTGTTCCAATGCTTGACAACTCTTTGGGGGAAGAAATACTTCCTGATGTCCAATCTAAACCTCTCCTGGGACAACTGGAGGCCTTTTCCTCTTGTCCTATCACTTGTTACCTGGGAGAAGAGACTGACACCCACCTCACTACAACCTCCTTTCAGGTAGTTGTAGGCAGTGATAAGGTCTCACCTGAGCCTCCTTTTCTCCAGCTGAACAACCCCAGTTCCCTCAGCTGCTCCTCATAGGACTTGTGCTCTAGACTCCTCACCAACTTCATTGCCCTTCTCTGGACAAGCTCCAGCACTTCAGTGTCTCTCCTGTAGTGAGGGGCCCAAAACTGAACACAATATTTGATGTGTGGCCTCACCAGTGCCAAGTCCAGGGGGACAATCACTTTCCTAGTCCTGCTGGCCACACTATTGCTGTGGATGCTGTTACAAGCCAAGCCTCCTTGGCCACCTGGGCACACTGCTGGCCCATGTTCAGCTGGCTGTTGACCAACACCCCCAGGTCCTTTTCCACTGAGCATCTTTCCAGCCACTCTTCCCCCAGCCTGTAGCCCTGCATGGGGTTCTTGTGACTCAAGTGCAGGACCTGGCAGTTGGCCTTGTTGAGCCTCATAAAGTTGGCCTCTTAATTTTGCTTCCTGTTATAACTTCACTTGTCTTTTCTCTACTAGTAGTTATTTAATGTTCTTGTAAGTAGGATGGGTAGCCAGACTGTTTAGGTAGTGGATGTCACTATTTAAGGCTGTTCATAGCTCAGCGATTTTAGTTTTATGTGTATATTTACTAAATTCATAGTTAGATGGGAGCAGCCTTTTATTTTGTTGGTAAAAAAGATTCTTGGTATCCTCCCGTAGATAAACTGTTAGTTTCCATGCTCTTGAATAAACAATACATTATTTATGGAACCATTGCCCTGTGCTGAATATTAAAGAAGACAAAAACAGAGTTTGGCATTAGTGTTCTGTTTCTACTTTGAAAAAATAGGAAATTGCTTTAAGTGTTGGTTATAAATCTTATCTCACCAAGTTATTTTCTGCATTTAAATAGAACTTATAGTTTCTCAAACCCTTGCCCTACTAAACCTTTGAATTACGTATAGATAGAATCTGTAACATTACATAATTGAGAACTTAACTTGAATCCTGTTAACGGATGCAAACAAATATTCTGAACCCCAGAAGAAGAAATATGTACAAAAATCCTTGGGAACGCTCAGTTCTTCAGATTCCTTAATATATTGAGTAGCAAATCTCACAGACTTCTCTCAATCTTCAGTCTTTGTAATTTATGGAGCAGAATGACTGCAACTTCTGTGACGTCTTTGCTTATATTTTAGCATCAGTTGCAGAGGATGAAAAAGGCATAATCCCGCGGGCTATTCAGGAATTATTTCAGCATATTTCTGAAAACTGTAACATTGACTTTAATGTAAAAGTATCTTATATAGAGGTGTACAAGGAAGAACTTCGAGATTTATTGGAGTTGGAGACCTCTGTGAAAGAATTACATATCCGAGAAGATGAAAAGGGAAATACAGGTAGGATTTCAGCTGTAAAATTCAGTGTGCTTTGTTTCACTTGTGTGCCCAAGTTATTCTTGCCTTCTCCTGAAAGAGCTTACTCATTAGTAATACTAGGAAAAAGTTACATTTTCATAATATAAAGTCAATTTAGCTGAGTTGAAGCAGTTTTGAGTTTAGAGGCCTGTGAATGATACAGATGTTCTGTCAGAAATGCCACAAATTACGAAGTCGAAATACAGTTATTGTTTCTGCAAATTCTGTAGAAAGAGAGTAGTGTGTGATTATTCACTTCAGTAAGTATTTCAAGGCTAAAACTTTGCTTCTCCCTTCAAAATTATAATTGTTAATCCACTTTTGCTGCAAAGATCTGTTCCCCTTTCACTATTAAATGAGTGGAAGAGAACATTTCATTAAGAATAGCGTCTGGTATTTTTTTGAGGCTTTGAAATTAACACTTATGCTATAGTTCTCCTGTCCACTACATGAAAATGCTGGAAGAATCTACTGCAGAGATATTTTATTCTGAAATTGTATAATCTGTTTTAGGTTTGGTTTTTTTTTTTCTTTACAGTCTAATTGTTGTGTTTACTCTAATATTAATATACTATTGCATTAGGCTGGTATAGTTTTTTTGTCTGTAACTGGAAAAAGGCACTAATTTAGTATAAATCTTGCGGGCAATATCATTGCTTCATAGGAACCCTGCAATATATCTTAGACTTTCTCTTCTTCAGTACAGTTGGAGTCATCTTCAGCTGATTGTTCTGGGATATTTTCCATCCTTCATTAAAACAAAGGTCAAAAAATATGCTTTGTAGGAGTACTTAGTAGAAGCACACATCCACATTGCTGGATTACTAATAGACACCTTTCCAAAAGACCCAACTACCTGAGCTATATAGAATAGAAATTCAGTTCTTACCACTGGGTAAGAATAATTTCTACTACATATGTCTTTTTTTTTAATTTTTTTTTTTTTTTAATTGGAAAAATATCCTTTGAGCTGAGTTTGCTTATAGTTTTTCCAGATACCACTAGATGGGACATTGCATATGGCAATGTATAAATGAGTAAAGCTGTGTATTATGTTTAAAATATTGTTTCAAATGCCATGCACAATACACCCATAAATTAAATATCTGCAGGTTTCAGATGTGTTGTACCTCATGCTTTTCATTTATCAATGCCATCTTTTTCTGTAGCTAAATGCTGTGACATAATAATGCACACAATTTCTCTAGTTTGTGTTTATCGTTTGGCTGTTTCTGCTGTAAATGTTTGCTGAAGAGTTTAGAATTAATTGAGTTATTCTTACTTTCTTTGGTTTGGTGTTTGAAGTGATTGTCGGTGCTAAGGAATTCCAAGTAGAATGTGCAGATGAAGTGATAAGCCTGTTGGAAAGTGGCAACGCAGCTCGTCACACAGGCACAACACAAATGAATGAGCACTCCAGTCGATCTCATGCCATTTTTACCATCAGTATTTGTCAGAAACAGTCCACAGAGTCTCAAAAAAATACTGATGCTGCACAGGATTCATCTTCAAAATCAGTCCAGATGATTGCTTCAAAGTTTCATTTTGTGGACTTGGCAGGATCAGAGAGGGTGACAAAGACTGGAAATACTGGTGAACGTTTCAAAGAATCAATTCAGATCAATAGCGGTCTGTTGGCCTTGGGAAATGTCATCAGTGCCCTTGGAGACCCAAAAAGAAAAAGTGTACACATTCCATACAGGGATGCTAAAATCACTCGTATTCTGAAAGACTCCCTTGGAGGAAATGCCAAGACTGTCATGATAACATGTATAAGTCCATCCTCATCAGACTTTGATGAATCTTTAAATTCTCTCAAATATGCCAACAGAGCCAAAAACATTAGAAATAAACCAGTTGTAAATTACAACCCCGATCAAGACCGGATTGATGAAATGGAACTTGAAATCAGATTGCTTCGAGAAGCTTTGCAGAACCAGCAAGTTAGTAATCAGTGTTCACACGATTTAAATCAAGAAAGAACTCGTATCAGCTCACTTGAGGAGCAGCTCACCCGGCTTCAGGTTCAATGTTTCAGTTACAGAAACTGTATAGATGAAGCCTTCCCGTTTCTCATTGATCTGAATGATGATGTTAGCTTAAAAAGAAGTCAGCGGGACAGGTTGCAGAGCTGGATCACTATGGCACAGGAAGTAAGGAAGGAAGCTCTCACCATGCAGGAGACTGACACGGGGACTGGCACCGGCCAAGAGCCACATCACATCACAATTCTTCAGCTAAAGAGGGAACTAAAGAAATGCCAGGTATTTAATTATAAGTTGATTATTTGAGTAACTATGTGAAAAAGCAGTCTGCTAAAACTTGAATTCAGTTTTGAAAGGTGTAATACTGTTACACTTACCTGTACTTAAGATGGCAATTTAAATTTAATTCACAGTCCTCTATAACTTTGTTAGTCTAATCCTTGGGACATAGCTTTGTTTTAATGGATGTTTGAATAGACAATCATCTCGGTCATGATGGAGATAGGTATGGTAATATTTTGGCTAGTCAGTTTCGAGATGATTCTGTGAGGCTAAGCTATTTTATGTGCTAGATTTACTTGGTTTAGTTATACTAGTGTGTTATGTCTGGCTGGGATGGAGTTTTCTTCACAGCAACTCATAGGGTGCTGTGTTTTAGATTTGTGATCAGTACAATGCTGATAACACACTAACATTTTAGGTCTTGCTGAACAGTGTTTGCACAGTGTCAGGCTGTCTTTTTCTGCCTCTGCCCCCAATGAATAGATTAGGGGGTGCAGATAAGGTTGAGGACACACACACAACACCAAGCAGATGATCTGCACTAACCAAAGAGATTTTTCATGTCACATAACATGCTTGAAATTTAAAAGGAAGAGGGGGAGATTTAGGGAGGTTAGCCATATTTTGCCTAGGAACTGGCTGGGCATCCGTCAGCTTTGGGAGGTGGCGAGTGATTGCCTTTGCATCCCTTGTTTTGTTTAGTTTTCTTTCTCTCTTCTTTGCTCTTCCCCCATCCCACGGGTGAGTGGCTGTGTGTGCTTAGCCACCCCTCTGCTTACAGGAGTTAACCCACAACAGTCCTTTTTGGTGCCCAACATAGGGTTCAAGACCTTTGAGATAATAACAGATTCAATTAGAGTGCACTAGATTATACTTCTAGCTGCTATACCTGTTAAATTGTTACTTGAGTGGCTTTTGCAGATCATGATGCTGGCACGTTTACTTTGGTTGCTGACTTAATGTGTCTCCTTGAATATTCCCATGCTCGATTCCTTTCTAGCTGTACAACACACTCCAAGGATCATTAACAACTGTTTTCATATTTTGCTCTTTAGCATGTTGTTTATCACTTTGTTTTCCTTTGCTGAGGAGAGTTATGATAAATCCACCGGCCTTCAGCCTAGTCTGGTATTTGGGTCTTAGGTTGGTGGTGTCCCAATACTCCAAGAACTGTCTCATGGACAAAACCAGCAACTATACCTTTCCCCTTTTGTCCCCTGAGAGACATTTTGTGGAGAGAGGAAAGAATAGCACCTATCCCTTCCTCTCCTCCAGGACAGGTTTTCATAGCCTTGATGTAGTGGCTTCTCAGTTCCTTTAATATCCTGGTGTGATCAGACTGTTCATGCTGGATTATTACACTGTAATAATCGTTCCTGTAGTCAAGAAGAAACAGTGGAAGCAGAGGCCAGCTCAGTTAGTAAGAGAAGCAGCAGCTCCTCCTGAGAGGGGGAGAGGGGAAGAATCATAAGAGGCAGGCTATTCTGCAGCAGGACAGGGGAGGAAAGAGACAGAAATCATAAAAGGGCAGAAACTGCCTGGTCCTGTAAAACAGGCAGAAGGATTTTGTCTGTCAGCAAGACGAGCGAATTGCTACCTGGTTGCTCCAGTGCTGGGACAGTGGGCCTACAGTCTGGAAGCAGAGGGTAGGGAAGCACCACAGCTGGATCCATTGCTGGGGGCTGTGGGATTGACAGGGGAAGAGGGGCAGCGACCTCCAGCCTCCAGAGGTGGCTTTTATCGAGCATGAAGACAAGGTACCCTCTTGAATTTTCACTGAATTTCACTGAATTTTTAGAGTTGGAAGGGACCATAGAGATCATCTAGTCCAACTCCCCTGCTAAAGGACCACCCAGAGCATGTCAGATCATGCCACTCAGGACTGCACCCAGGCAGGTCTTGAAAATCTCCAAAGAAGGGGATTCCACAACCTCCCTGGGCAGCCTGTTCCAGGGCTCCGTCACCTCATATTCAAGTGGAACCCTTTATGTTCCAAATTGTGCCCATTGCCCCTTGTCCTCTCACTGGCAACTACTGAAAAGAGTCTGGTTCCCTCCTCCCTCAGCCTGCCCTTGAGATACTTGTAGGCATTAATAAGGTCTCCCCTCAGCCTTCTCTTCTCCAGACTAAAGAGTCCCAGCTCTCTCAGTCTCTCCTCATAAGGGAGATGCTCCAGTCCTTGAATCATCTTTGTAGCCCTACGCTGGACTCTTTCCAGTAGTTCCCTGTCCCTCTTGAACTGGGGAGCCCAGAAATGGACACAGTATTCCAGTTGTGGCCTCACCAGTGCAGAGCAGAGGGGCAGAATGACCTCCCTCGACCTGCTGACCACACTCTTCCCTAGGCAGCCCAGGATTCCATTGGCCCTCCTGGCTACAAGAGCACACTGTTTGCTCATTGTCATTTTGTTGTCCACCAGGACCCCCAGATCCTTTTTTTCAGAGCTTGTCTCCAGCAGGTCCAAGAAAGATACTGTAACCCAGTGAGGCAAGTGGACTACCACAGAGGAAGGTATCCAGTGTCTGGTGGTGGAGGTGGTATACAGTACCTGGTGGTGGAGGTGGTATACAGTGACATGGACAATAACCAGGTCCCTAAAGATCCTCATGATGTACAGAGCACATGGCCTGTGTGGCAGAAGTCTGTACAGAGCGCTCCAACATCATGGGCTGGCAACCCAGCAGTGATGGGTTGGGCTGACATGGAGGCACCAACTCTGTATAGCCTGGTCTGCCAGCTGCAGCAACTCTAAGAGAATCTCTTTTCCCACTCCCTGCTCTGGGCCTGCATCTCAACTGTGGACAGACTGTCCCACAAGGTTTGGCAACTTGAAGACAATGTGGATAATCTCTCTCCCTCCTTGCCCCTGCAGACCAGCGTCTCAGTTACCACGAGTCAGCCTTTCTCTGCTTAGATGAAAGGGAACCATGGGCACATGCCAGGTGCCACCCTGATGTTCTATCTGTGTGACTGTGGAGGAGATATTGCACTTACTTTGGTCCTGGGAAGTCTTTGTATGTGAATTGTGGGAAAAAGTAGTGGTTAGAAAGGGTCCTTCCAGGAAGCTTACAGCACCGGTTGCTGTTGAGCAATTCTTGAGACACAGTAGATGGGCTGAGGACCCCTCTCCTCTGTCTGATACTGATCCAATGGACTTACGTCCATGTATGTTTGAACCCCTTCTACCATGGAAGGACCGTACTGGTCTGTAGTAGGATCACACCAATGAATAGTCCTTGTAGCATAGCCTGGGCTACAGAGAGACATGGGCTCCTTTCATAGTGTAAATACTTCTGGTTTGCAATTACAGGAGTCAGGTAATGAATCTGCTCATTGGGAATAGGGGCCTTCCCTCAGGCCAGGTGGAGGAAAAGGACAATTGGATTTTCTTTGGTTTCAGTGGACACCAGTGCACAGTGTACCCTAATGCCATCAGGATACAAGAGAGCAGAACACATGAGGATTTTCAGAGTGACAGGGGGATCCCAGTTGTTGTCTGTGTTAGAAGCTGAGGTGAGCCTAACAGGAAGTAAGTGGCAGAAGGATCCTGTTGTCACCAGAGGCCCTTTATGTCATTGCCACTGACTCTCTCAAAAGAGAGTACTTTAGGGACCCAAGGAGATACCATTGGGCTTTTGATGTAGCCACTGCAGGTTCAGAGAAGCTCAAACAGCTGTGTGTCTTGCTTGGCCTCTTGAATGATCCTTCTGTTGGGGGGCTGCTGTGTGTTGAAGAACACCAAGTGCCAGTTGCTACTGTGATCATGCACTGGCATCAATATTGTCCTGAGTGAGACTCCCTCGTTCCCATCTGATTTGTTGACTCAAGAGCTGGTGAGTGATTAGCATGACTCACTTGCCCTTTATAGTCCTATACAACCAGTGCAGAAGTCTGACAGGGGGTGGAGGTTTACAGTGGGCCGTTGTGGCCTGAATGAAGACATGCCTCCACTAAGTGCTGCCGTGCTGGACATGCTAGAACTCCAGTATGAACTGGAGTCAAAGGCACCCAAGTGATACGCTATGACTGATATTGCCAATGCATTTTCCTCAGTCCCTTTTTAGCAGTGCAGGCCACAGTTAGCTTTGAAGTGGAAGGGTGTCCAATGTGGAATGATGTCCAATCTGGAATCAACTGCCATAGAGGGGTGGAAGCACAGCCCTACCACCTGCCATGGACTGATCCAAACTGCACTGGAACAGGGCGAAGCCCCAGAAAGCTTGCAATGGATTAATGACAATGCTGTGTCAGGCAACATGGGCCTGAATGGGGAAACCCAACCACCCTGGAATCCTGGAAGAGATCACGGACTGGCCAGAAAGCAGACTTTGGAGCATTGGCTGAGGAAGTGACTCATGTCGAAGAGGTCCCACTGTATAATATATTAACAGAGAAACGATAAACTCTGTTTACTGATGGCTCCTGTCATATTGTGGGAAATCACTGAAGGTGGAAAACTGCGCTATGGAAAACTGCCACATGACAAGTTGCAGAAACTGCTGAAAATTAAGGTTAATTGAGTCAATGTGCAGAAGTGAAAGCCATCCAGCTTGTGGAACCTGAAACATATGGTACCCAAAACCCAAACACCAAACCACCCAAAACACTGTCCTAGGCCTTGCAAAACAAATTCTGTGACATGGCAGCCCAGGAATCATTGAGTCAGACAATGGGACTCATTTCTGAAATGATCTCATAAGCACCTGACTGAGAAATATGACATTGATGGGGTGTATCACATTCCCTATCATGCACCAGCCTCTGGAAAGATTGAACTATACAATGGATTATTAGACACTGCACTGGAAGTAATGGGCACTGGGACACATCAGCAGTGGGAAGCAAATTTAGCAGAAGCCACTTGACTAATTAGTACCAGAGGACTAGCTAACTGAGCTGGACCTGGCCAAACAAAAACCTTATGTGTTGTAGAAAGATATAAGGTCCCTGTAGTGCATAAAGAGAACTGGCTGAGGAAGACAGCATGGGTTGTTCAT